AAGACTAAACAGAAGGAACAGTGTTTGCCTCCAGTCCTAATGGGTAGGATTTTGTTAGGTGCGATTATGTACTGCAGCTGGGCATTTGGCCTCATGGTTACCGTCATGTGTGCCCTGTTCACTGCCTGGGTTTAACTTCTTGCTAATGTAAACTCTAGGGGTCCTTCGTGATAACTCAGGTGAGTGTGTTCCTGGCCCCAGCTGGTGCGTTGATTAACAGGTTTTGGGGGAGTTGAACCACTGGATTGGGAGTTTTCTGTGTCTTTCAAACAATTTTTAAAAATGAATGTAGGAAAGGAAAATTATGTATTGAGCAGTATTAAAATAGTGGCTGCTAGGTGCTAGGCACTGTCATATTCTTTTTTTTTTTTTTTTGGACAAGTAGTGATTAATAAGTGGTGTGCTTGAAAGGAAGTTCCTATTAAAGATTTGGCTTTACTGCAATCTCAGTTAGTGATGTATGCAAGAATAATTGGGCAATCCTTAAATACCAAGAGGCATTTTAGTCATTGAATAGAACTTGGCATGCATTCTCTACCATTATAATACCTGCTTAGGAAAATTTAACTGTATTTAGAAATGAATATGTTGGACAGAGTCACAAAGTTGTAATGTAATATCAGGGCAGTCTTCCAGCTTTTGTTTTTTAAGACTTACTTGTTTAATCTGAAAATTACGAAGAGAAAGGAGAGACAGCGAAAAAGAAACTCCCCTATCATTCAGTTATCCCCCAAATGACTTTAACAACCAGAGCTGAGCTGATGCAGAGCCAGGAGCTAGGAATGTCTTCCAGGTCTCCCGTATGGCAGACCTGAGCCACCCTCTGCTGCTTTCCCAGGCCTCAAACGAAACTGGATTGGGGAAGTAGAGCAGCTGGGACTCAAACTGGCACCCACACTAGATGCCAGCCCTGCAGGCTGAGGCCCAGCTGGCTCCAGATTTTTAACCTTTTTTCTCTTTTAATTGGACAGATGGTGAATGCCCATCAGCAGGCTTACTAGTCACAGGGCTGTTGCGAGTAGGGAACCTGCACCCCACTGCCTCCCAGAGTCTAAATTGATAGGAAGCTGGGGTCAGGAGCCAGAACCTGAACTCAAATGCAAGAACTGGCAATGTGTGAAGCGTATGTCAACTGCTAGGACAATGCCTGCCTGCCCTGACTTTAAAAAAAATGTTTTGGACTCTGGCGCGAAGGTTCAGTGACTAAATCTTTACCTTACAGATGTTGGATCCTTTATGGGCACCAGTTTGTGCGCCAACTGCTCTGCTTACTGGCAAACTCCCTGCTTATGGCCTGGGAAAGCAGTAAAGCAGTAAGGGATGGACCAAAGCCTTGGGACCCTGCACCCCTATGGGAGAGCTGGAGGAAGCTCCTGTCTCCAGGCTTCTGATCAGCTCAGCTCCGATCATTGGTGTAATTTGGGGAGTGAACCAAGTCTCTCCTTTCTATAAATCTGATTTACCCATCCAGTAAAAGCAAATACATCTTGAAAAAAGTTTTAAAAGTCACCTGTAGTCTTCTAATGCCATATTTAATTTTAAAATGCTGAAAATATCACCAGGATTTCAGCCACATATGGGAGTGTTCAAAAAGCTAATGGGCGAGACTAGCATTGTGGTATTGCACGTTAAGCTGCTGCCTGTGACACTGGCATCACATATGAACACTAGTTTATGTCTTGGCTGCTCCACTTTGAACCATGCTCCCTGTTAATGACTTGCGAAAGCAATGAAAGGTGACCTGAGGGTCCCTGCCACCCATCTGGGAGATCCAGAAGAAGCTCCTGGTTTCAGCTCTGCTGGCTTTGGCTGTTGAGGGCATTGGGTGAGTGAATCAGCAGATGAAATATCTATATTTCTCCATCCCTCCCTGTTACTGTATCTTTCAAATAAATAAAGCTTTTGTGGGGTAAGTTTTATAGGAAGAATGAAAATAAAGGATAACTTTATTTTGGCTGAAAACATTTGTTGTTGTTACTGTTCAAATCCGCACCTAGTCTTCACAATATGCGCTTTCTTCAACCTTTTGAAGTATCTGTGTGTGTTCACTGGTTGTATGAGATCATAAAAGTGAAATTTTTGTTTATAACTAATTTAGAGTCTGATGTTCTTTGAAAGGCTATTAAGTAATTCCTAATTTTCTGTACCTCCGTCATTCACTCAGAATCTTGCGCTGGTGAGATGGGACACTGATATAAAGATGCATCGCTCTGTTTTGTGTATACACACCAGAGTACATTTACGTGTGTAGTAAGACTATTGTGGGTGAGGACCGTTATACTTTTTTTTTTTTTAGGATTTATTTGGTAAGTTGAAAGGCAGAGTTACAGAGGGCAGAAAAACAGAATGAGATCTTTCTATTGGTTCATTCCCCAAGTGGCATCAAGTGCTGGGTCTGGAGCAGACTGAAAGCAGGATCCTGGAAATCCTACCAGATTCCTGCATGGGTGCAGACCTCACAGCAGATGCCAGCAGCAGGTTCACCGTTCAGGCTACCTACATGTCTATTTAGTCAACCACAAATTCAGCACTTTCCTCTCATTCAGTGAATTCTCAGGACTCAGAGAATTTATTATTTATTATAAGGAGTTCAGGAACTGCCAAATGGAGGAAACACATAGAGCAAGAAGGGAAGTAGCGGCTGCAGGATGAGGGTTTAGCAGAGTCCCCTCACCCTTGCTGCAGGCCACACTACCAGCACTATTGTGTTGAGAGTTTTTATGATTGCATTATGCAGGCATGAGCCATTGGTGCATGAGCTCTATCTGTAACCCTTCTCTTGTGCTCAGAGGTAAGAGGAGGGGGTTTGTAGGGTGAGGAGAATGGCCTGACTTTTAGCTCTAATCATGCATTGCTGTTTCTAGTCCCCAGCCTCCTTCTGAAACTGTCTGGGAGCACCTCCGCCAAGAGGCTCTCCTCTCTCCTTAGCACACCAGGGTCACTCATCCCTAGAGAGTCTGAGAGTTTCGGCTGCTTTGTGCCAGAAGCCTGGGACAAAAACCAAACATTTTTATTGTACCACAGCCTGTTTCTAGTGAGGAAATTCTCAGGCACTGTGAAAAGGATGGGGTGGATTAGAGTGCTGGTGTCGCTAAGCCCCAGGGGGCTGTGTGGTTCCTTCCTGTCTCAGCTGGCTTCTCTGAGGGTCTGATGTTTTCTAGGATTACAGTCATTTGGGCTTAACCTTTTCTTTTGCAATTTACCATGCAAGTGGCTATTGCTCTTCCCCGGGAATACTTCCGGCTCTTACCCAGATAGCCAGATTTGTCTGTTGTTGTTATGGTTGGCTTCTCCTGATTCTTCTTGACTTAGAGTTGAATTTGTAGCCTTAACTACTTCATCTTCAAAAACTGATTAAGTCTTTATACCTTCACATTTTTTTGGATACTTGGGTGTGTTTGTGTGCTTATATTTCTGTGTTAATAGATTTCTCAGAAAAATTGAAACGTCAGACATTTGACTCCTGCTTAGGTGGTTTGTGTGTAAGCTGGGCATCAGTGTGTCACAGGGATGAGTTTTTGGACCCTCTGAGGGTGCGAGAATCTGCAAGTACTCAAGTCTTTAGTATAAATTGGAGTAGAATATATACATACACACACACAAAAACCGTTCATCTCCCCGAAGGTATCTCATTGACCATTTAATGCTGTTAATACAATGGAAATGCTGTGTACTTACACTATATTGTTCAGAGGATAATGACAAGATAATACCGAGTCTATACATGGTCATTATAGTTGCCATTTTGTCAACCTGAACGAGTCTGCAGATTCAGAATCCATGGATATAGAATTATTTGGGCAGCAGTCAGACTTATCCAGAGATTCTGTGTTTCAGCACTTGGGATATCTCCAGCAACACAGTCTCTATACAGCATATATGGAGTATATTACTCAGTGCTGTGACTCTTTACTTCTCTTGCCTTCTGTTGGCAAGTCACAGGACAACAGTAAAACAGCCACTCCTGTGGACGTTAAAACTAACGTCCAGTAGGATTCTTATATATATCTTTTTCTATTAAAAAGTCAGATTTACAGAAAGAAGGAGAGACAGAGAGAAAGATCTTCCATCTACTGATTCACTCCCCAAGTAGCTTCAGCAGCCAGAGCTGAGCCGATGTAATTTCTTCTTCTAATTTCTCCCACTTGGGTGCAGGGTCCCTCCACTGCTTTCTCAGGCCATAGGAAGGAAATGGGATTAGAAGGCGAGCTGTCAAAACATGAACCAGCATTCATTTAGGATTCTGGTGCTTAGCGATAGAGCATTAGCCAGTTGAGCTAGTGAGCCTGCCCCCACAATTATTTATTTTGTACGATTTATCTTATTATTTGAAAAGCAGAATACAGAGAAAATGAGAGATGCAGAGATATCTTCCATCTGCTGGTTCACTCCCCAAATGACAATAGCAGCTAGAGCTAGATTAATCAGCTTGGAGCTTTCTCCTGAATGTCCCACGTGGGTGCAGGGTCCCAAGGCTTTGGGCCATGCTCTACTGCCTTCCCAGCCACAAGCAGGAGCTGGATGGGAAGTGAGGCTGCCAGGAAGTTGGTGCTGCAGGAAGAAGCCCAGTCTAATACACCCCGGTGCCAGCTTTCAACAAAGCTGTAATAGCAGATTACCCATATAATAACATAACATGTATACAGTTAAACAAATGGTGGTTAATTAGTAGTAATGTTTATCTTCATCATTAAATTAAATACTTAAATTCAAAGGAAAACTTTGAATTTTCTCTTTATTTTTTTGTCCTAGTTTGCTTTTTGTGGATTCTGATTTCCATTTAGTTCCTTATCATGCTTTGCTTGTTTGTTGGTCTTCTCCGTTAAACTTTGCTTGTAAAGCTGGGAAGCCTGTGTCTTGTTGCACAGGCTCTAGCACCCCCGACACGAATTGTTACATGATCCTGACTTATTTGATTATGCAGAATATTTAGGATACTTAGAATAATTTAAGTTTGCCTGTTTTGTTTGTTTATGTATGTATTTATTTGATTTTTACAGTGAACAAAGTATCTGCCAGGCAAGAGCTGCTGTGATGGTTTATGACGATGCCAATAAGAAGTGGGTGCCAGCTGGTGGCTCGACTGGCTTTAGCAGAGTTCATATCTATCACCATACAGGCAACAACACATTCAGAGTGGTGGGCAGGAAGATTCAGGACCATCAGGTAAGGGCCTGTTTCTTTTTGATGATGTTTACATGGTTGATCAGGGTGGGAAGGAAAGGTGGAGGGTTTAGGGGAAGTGGGTAAGATCATTGTTTCCAAATTTTCTTTTTCTTCTTTCTGTGTCTGAGGGAAGGAGGGTGATAAGGGAAGAAGCCACACCCAGCCTCCCAACCACCTGAGTACCTAGGGATGGGGAACAGCCAACTGCTGTTATCCCAGGATCCCTGATACAGGGCTGCTGGAAGGATACTGCTCAGGTGGTTTCAGTAATTCTGAAATGCTGTCAGTGTCGCAGGTGCAAGGATGAGAAAGTCCTTCCAAGGTCCATTGTCTGACATACTCTACCTCCCTGCTCTGGATTTCCTTGGAAGTAATTGGATTATCTGATTACGGGATCATTTGAATCAGGACTAGTAGATAGAGGAAAGGTAGATGGGCTCTTCCTGGCATTAACAGTCTATTAAGGGCATCAGAAACTTTATAGATTTACAAAGTATTTTGGAAATATTTTGCTGCAATGTTGGCATCAGCCCATGTTACACATATTCATCCTGCTCTATACTCAGGGAAAAGGTAAAAAAGCTTTTTTTTTTAAAGATTTATTTAATTTTTTTTTTAAGATTTATTTATTTATTGGAAAGTCATATATACAGAGAGGAGGAGAGACAGAGAAAGATCTTCCGTCCAGTGATTCACTCCCCAAGTGAGTGCAACGGCCGATGCCATGACAATCCGAAGCCAGGAGCCAGGAACTTCTTCTGGGTATCCCACACAGGTGCAGGGTCCCAAGGCTTTGGGCTGTCCTAGACTGCTTTCCCAGGCCACAAGCAGGGAGCTGGATGGGAAGTGGAGCTGCCAGGATTAGAACCGGCGCCCATATGGGATCCCGGGGCGTTCAAGGCAAGGACTTAAGCCACTAGGCCATGCCACTAGGCCCAAGATTTATTTAATTTTTTTTATTGGAATGTCATATATACAAAGAGGAAGGGAGACAGAGAGGAAGATCTTCCATCTGTTGAATCACTCCCCAAGTGGTTGCCACAGCCAGAGCTGAGCTGAGCTGAGCTGAAGCTAGGAGCCAGGAGCTTCTTCCAGGTCTCCCATGCAGGTGCAGAATCCCAAGGGTTTGGGCAATCCTAGGCTGCTTTCCCAGGCCACAAGCAGGCAGCTGTATGCAGGGCCACCAGAACAGGAACCGGTGCCCAAATGGGGTCCTGGTGCATGTGCAACACGAGGACTTTGGCTGCTAGGCTACTGTGCTGGGTCCCAGTAGTAAAGATTTAAAGAAAAGAATGTGGATCCCTAGATTTCAACTAGGAAATGTGTTGGTAGGGTTTGTCAACAGATGGTGGCAGGAGGCCTGGGTTTGGGGGATAAAGGTTATGGATGGGTAGCTATAGACTAGGAACTTGGATTTGTTACGATTGCAAATTAGGGACCTTGGGCCTGTAAAACTGATACCTTTGCAAAACCATTTTGAGTCTTGAAGGGGCTATGTCCCATAGAAAAGAGGACTAAGAAAAATCTTCATTGGGACAAGGAAGCAAAAGAAATTTGTGAATTGGTATAAGATCTTCCCTGAGAAATGGGAAAGTCCGACTTCACATGCACAGCTTCAGACAGGAAGCTGGCAGACACAGGTTGCAGGCCTATGACGTTCTGGGAGCACCTGACAAAAGCGCATGCAGCGCTCCTCTGGAGGGAATTTTGCTGACTTCACTAACGTTCTATAAGCTTAGTTGGCCTGCCTTCCTCTGCCTTCCGAGGCTATCTTCAGTTTCTCTGTCATGTGCCTGCTCTCGCCTCACTGCCCCCTTGCTGCCTTTCTCTCTTCCTTTGTGTGTGCTGACCTGTTGTATTGCTCAGCTTTGTCTGGTGAGCAGCCCCTCTGGCCCATGTGCAGCCCAGGTGATGGTCCATGTTCTCTCTCCTCTTTGTCTGCAGTGAGTTAGACCAAAGACGAACGAATTGCCCTCTGCACAATGCAGTTGTAGTGAAAACAGTGAAAGCAAAACTTCATACAAATTGTTTTGTTCTTTTTTTTTTTAAAGATTTATTTTTATTATTTTCTTATTGGAAAGGTGGATATACAGAGAGGAGAGACAGGAGAGACAGAGAGGAAGATCTTCCGTCTGATGATTCACTCTCCAAGTGAGCGCAACGGCCAATGCTATGCTGATCCGAAGCCAGGAGCCTCTTCCGGGTCTCCCATGCGGGTGCAGGGTCCCAAAGCTTTGGGCCGTCCTCGACTGCTTTCCCGGGCCACAAGCAGGGAGCTGGAAGGGAAGCGGGGCTGCCGGGATAGAACTGGCGCTCATATGAGATCCTGGGCATGCAAGGCGAGGACCTTAACCACTGCGCCACTGCGCCGGGCCCTCTTTTTTTTTTTTTTAAGAAGAAAACATTAAACATTTTTTAAAGATTTATTTTTATTGGAAAGTCAGATATACAAAGAGGAGCAGAGACAAAGAAGATTTTCCATCTGCTGATTCACTCCCCAAGTTGGCCACAGTGGCTGGAGCTGAGCCGATACCAAGCCAGGAGCTAGGAGCTTCTTCCAGGTCTCCCAAGTGGGTGCAAGATTCCAGCGTCTTTCCCAGGCCACAAACGGAACTGGATGGAATCGGGGCGCCCAAATGGCATCCAAGCACATGCAAAGCGAGGACTTTAGTTGCTAGGCTATTGTGCTGGTCTTCTAAACAATTTTTTTTTTAGAATTTATTTTTATTTGAAGGAAGGTAGACTTCCATCTACTGGTTCACTCCCCAAATGCCTGCATCAGCTGGGGCTGGGCCAGGCCAAAGCAAGGAGCCAGACGCTTCATTCAGGTCTCCCACGTGGGTGCAGGACCCACGCACATGGACTAGATTCTGTTGCTTTCCCGGGTGCATTTCAGGGAGCTTAATCAGAGGTAGAATAGCTTGGACTCATTGGGCACCCATGTGGGACGCTGTTGTTCACGGGCAGTGGCTTAATGCACTACATTACTGTGCCAGTCTCTGAACATACATACCAGGTGAATAAATACTTCTTTTGATAAGTTTTGGTGAATGATCATATGAAAGTATTAATGAGCAATCCTGAAATTCTGTTGACAAAGAGAAAATTAATACTTAAAAACAATGAAAAGACATTTGTTTAGGCCAGGACATTTTCATATGAAGCAGTTTTTATTCGTAAGATAATTTATCTGTTCTGTGACTCTTAGGTTTTGAAAACTGGAGCTTTCTTAAAATGCCTGGAAATTTTAAATTATATTTGTGAATAGTTTGTGGCACTAAGATTATGAAGGTTAGAAAATGTTTAGAAATTAAGCCAGTTCTTGGAGCTCAGCAGTAGGTTGTAGCACATAGGTTACTGAGCCGGGGAGCACAGATGTCGTTGGGCACTGCAGCTTGTGCTGCTGGCTTTCTGTGTCAGGTTACTGCTTGGTATCTCGGCTACTCTGTGCCTTTTTAATTTTGTGAGGGTAGTGAAAACACATTTTTTCTTTAAAAGTTTTTTTAATTTGAAATGCAGAGTTAGAGACAGAGAGATTCTCCTTCTCTTGCTTCACTCCCCAGATGGCTGCAAAGGCCAGAGTTGACTGGTCCAGAGCTAAGAGCCAGGAGCCTTTCCCCAGCCTCCCACACAGATGCAGAGATCCAAGCAGGTAGTCCATTTTCTGTTTTCCCGGCTGTCAGCAGGGAGCTGGATCAGAAGTGGAGGAGCCTGGTTAGGAGGTGTATCACAGAGCAGAGGATTAGTGTACAGCACCATGATATTGGCCCAGGTAACATAGTTCTTCACATTGCAAGAGAGATACAGTTAACAGATTTTTTTTTTTTGAATGAGTGTTAAGCATATTAGTAAAGAAGTACACTTAAAACATAAATCATAGTCTTGTGAGGGCATGAAAGACTCACCAGCTTGTTGAGAAGATAGGGCAAAGGCTCATGGTTGACTTCATAGACAAGACAATTTTGAGCCTGGTCACAAGGAAAAGTGGGCTTTTAGTGCTCCATTTACACTGGGTATGACCAGTCGAAAAATGGATAGGTATGTGTGGAATGAACATCACAGCTAGTTTGCAGTCAAGTTTGTTGGATTTGAGGTACAAAATTTAGTGTTTCAATGAAGTGCACACTTGACAGTATACTTAGTATATGGCCATACATAGAATTGAAGCATTTTGAATATTGCAAAACAACCATTTACATATCTTTGATTCTAGTAATGTTTTCTTCAAAAAATTTTAGCATTCTGTTAGTGAACAATTGTGAAAGTAAATGTAAAATAACTTGATTTACCATAAAATGAGATTTATAATTTTCTAATAATGATCAGTTCCATTTGCTATCAGTTTCTAGCAGCTTAGTATTTGTAATTAAATTTACAAAAATGGTAAATGGTCATAATATTTTCTTATTGTAATAAAAGATATATAGCACCAAATTTATCATTTCAACTAGTTTTAAGTGTACAGTTCTGAGGCATTACATGCATTTATAATGTTATATGCCCATCTACATCCACTTCCAAACCCTTCTGGAGAGTTTGTATAGTGGTGAAGAATTCCTGGTCCACAGCTAGAAAGCCAGAAAGGGAAGCCAAGTTTTAGATTTCTGTTTACTAAGAGGCATGTGACACTTTTTGAAAAGGGGACCTCAGAAGCTGAGCGGGAGCTTTTAGCACATTTCTGGGACTCATGTAACAAAAATTAAATGTAGGGGTGGCAGTGACGCAGGAGGAAATAGTGGGCAACTCCTACAGTGGCCCCAGGAGTCCCGTCCCGCAGAAGGAGCTTGGATCAGAGCTAAACTGGATTTTTCAGACAGTAAAACACAGCCTCTCATTGTTCTAGACACTGCTTGGATTCAGGCCATATGAATTTGTTAGTTTCTTGAACTGCTTGCCAGAAGCAAAAGTAAATGTCTCTGGAAAAATAGGACATAATTTTAAGTCTTAATTTCCATACAGTTGTCCGTACACAATGTCTGGCACTCACAGTAACCAGGTGT